AAATGTTTTGTGATTCAAAGTCAGCTCTTCACGCATTTACAAACCCAGCATACAAAATAGATACTTAGAATGTTGGAACTTCCTTTATAATCATATTATAAAAAATCATATCTTGCTCCTGGAGCAAGAGTTCCAGGACTCTTGGCAATATTCCAGGAAATTGGGGATGGCAATAGAGCAGTCTGTTAAAAGACCTTAAAATCACTATAAGAGTTCAAGTATGTTTATTGAGATAAGCAATAAATACATCTCAAAGGGATAGAGTAGCTTAGGCTATTTCTACCCCTCACGATAAGAGTTATGATGTACTTCAGGTAAATTACATGTTTAAAACTGGAAATGTGTACGGACAACACCAAACATCCACTAGACAGTATGCCATTGCCAGAATTAGGCTGGGATATCTGACAGGTGGCTGCTGATAATGAATCTACCACCTACCCCAGTGGTTAACATTCCAAATAAAATAAATATATAAATGTTTATTTAGGTAAGGTGCATACAAGAGATTTTACAAAGAATGATGGATTTATAGATAAGGCTAGTTCTAGGCTAGTGAGACCCGTTCTCGCAAATTTAATAAGTCAATATTGACTTATTAAATATGTGCATAGGTGACATACTTAACATAATAGATACCCTTAAAAAGATTCATAGAAAACACCGACCTTACCTAACCTTGTTAGTATCTTAAGATAAGCATCTTATTGCTTCGTAATTACAATTATTACTTAACCTATACCTATTATAGGTTAGGTAATAATTGTAATTACGAAGCAATAAGATGCTTATCATAAGATACTAACAAGGTTAGGTAAGGTCGGTGTTTTCTATGAATCTTTTTAAGGGTATCTATTATGTTTAGTATATCACCTATGCACGTAGTTAATAAGTCAATATTGACTTTACGAATTTGCGAGAACGGGTTGGGCTAGTACATACAATGCCTAAAGCCACTATTACGCAAAGCGTTTCGGGCATGAAAAACTTAAATGACTAAAGCTTATGTAAACTAGGAACAAGAGCCAGGGCATACCTAACGTCTGGGTCTGTGATTGTTCTATTACCAGTGACTTCAGACCAAATGGTACGAGGTGGAGGGTAGAAATAGCCTAAGCTACTCTATCCCTTTGAGATTTATTTCTTTGTCTCAATAAACATACTTGAACTTGGTACGAGGTACTTTGAACTCTACTTCATATATTGGAAGATATTTTTCTGCTTTTGTTAGTGCAGGCTACTAACTTAGACTCTCGTAATGTTCTTTCCTAATTCTATGTAGGACTAACCATCCTGTGAGATGAGGATATTAGATGAACTTAGTTTAGTTCACTTACTATGCACCCAATACCCACCTTGTGGGCGGTAGTGGAAAGGGTTACAGATGCACATAATGGGCTCAGGAACTGAACCCCACAATTCATTTAGCTAAGCAAGTTACAGTCTTGATGAGCTAGTTACAAAATTCAGTATAAGTCATCACATCAACAATGGGTTCGAGATCGACCTCAAGTACAGTTTCTATATTAAGCAACTGACATATGTGGAGAGCTAGTGTCACAGTTGATATGTTTGTCCTGCACACCGCCCCCCATCCAGTGGGCAGCGGTGGAGAGGTTACAATCACTTAGTTACTACCTACAGTTAGCAAACTGGGAATATTTGGCTAAGATTTCTGGTATCAGATCATTTTGAATTAAATATTTACACATCGTTGGAACATTGGTTATAGAATTGTCTCTAAATTCCCGTATCTTTTCGCACTCCATCACAGTGACGGAGGGTGTGCGAATAATTTTGTTGACAGTTTACATTTGGTCAGGTCTACATCGGCAGATAATGAAAATTCCCAGAGATACAGATGAACGCGTAGCAAGTTTTTTATTTACACCTTGTAGTCTTTCACACGGAATATGGTAGCAGCACATTGCTGTGTATACCCAAGATTGCTAATAAAAAAAGGACAAATAATTTGACAATGCACTTTTTTAATAACAAGCTTAGGTATATACACTACTGTGCTGTTCCCTGTGTCCGATATTGATTGATGAAGATTAAGCCACCCAAAAGGTGGCACGGGCATGAATAGCCCGTAAGTGGTGGCCCTTTTGAGCCATTACCAGTATCAAGAGCTGATACTGGAGATCTGTGGAGGTGCGACTGCACCCTGCGTGACGGGAGATGTCTCTCGGACCAAATGGTGACCAGATGGTGGCAAGTCGGTAACCAAGCCATGGCTTTATATCAACCATACAACCAAAACTTCCTCAGCAACCCACAACACCACATCCCCCATCTCGCAGGACGATCATGACGATGGGACACCTTAAGAGGACGGGTCAACCCGTCCTCTTATTAGAGCATCGAATTTTGACGCATACTTTACCAGAGGCCAAAAATCGCCGTTCTAGAAAATGAAAGCGGCTCGCAAAAGTGACTTACTGTCCCGTTTTCTGTTTTGGGTCCTCTGGTAGGTTAGGGGGGAGAGATAGAGGGGGGGGGGGGAGAGATAGAGGGGGGGAGAGATAGAGGGGGGGAGAGATAGAGGGGGAGGGGAGAGATAGAGGGGGGGAGAGAGATAGAGGGGGGGGGGAGAGATAGAGGGGGAAGAGATAGACCAAGACACAACCGGGTACCATACTCACTTTCGTGAACAGCAAAACACTGTATTCAATGCGCCTCGGTCCAATACTCTACACACAATATAACACTACGTTTGTCCAAAAATCTAAAATCAATACTTCTTTAAAAGGAGTTTATTTAAAGCGATGAAACTTCAAAAGATCGATGTATATCATCTGTGAAAAGCCTCACTGAACGCTCCCCGCCAAGCACATTGTCAGTATATTGGAATTTCGCAACAAACATAACAGCAGCGCCGTGAGTGATGTTAGGTCTGCCTGGATGAATTGTATTTGATTCGACAACTCTCTTGTCTCCGGGTCTTTCCTAGTCTGCCACACACAGGATTAATTCCATTCTCTCAGCCCCGGACAATCCCATTATCACCGAGTCACCGTAGCTGAAAACACAGTTACACAATTTTTAGATCGCCATTAGTTCGAAGGTTGGTTTGGGTTTCAGATCTAGCAGCCTTAGGTCGGCCACCATAATAGCACACTGACCAACATGCAATAATATTGTAAAACTGAACAGTCAAAGGATTAGGGGCTCCTCTCCCATCATTGTTCCCTTCCTCTTGAAAGTACATAATTACCTGAATTTACCCGAGGGCCACTAATATACGTACTGATTGATTGAGGAAGCCACCCAAAAGGTGGCACGGGCATGAATAACCCGTAAGTGGTGGCCCTTTTGAGCCATTACCAGTATCAAGAGCTGATACTGGAGATCTGTGGAGGTGCGACTGCACCCTGCGTGACGGGAGATGTCTCCTATCTATACGTACTGCCCTCTTCGCTTTATTTATACAAACACCCACCTCCCCCCCCTATACACCATACACAATATTTTTCACAGCATGTACATCGCATGCACTTATCCTTCCCGTCCGTGGGTACATCATACACATTCCCCCCCCCCCCCCTATCCCACTTTCCACTGTAGAATCATACATATACGCTCCCACTGTAGGTACATACTATGTATACTCCCCTTCGCTCTAGAAACTCAACTTTTTCTAAATATCGTGATGAGACACTCACATATGGGACTAATAGAGCAAGAACCCGGCAATGTGATGTTATAGTGGCCAGAATACGCCTGGGATATAGACGTATCTGGCAGCTTTCTCAAAACCCAAATGTCGAGTACACAATGTGTCAACTTTGTGAAAGATAAAACATGCACTCTCTTGAACATTATATTGTAGAATGTCCCATACTGACCGACTGTCGCCCTCCTGGGCTAAGGTATGCTCAACTAACTACTATATGAATGCTGGAACACTTGATATATTGGACTTGTACCCATGATTGACCATGTAATACATCAATTATACAATGTATGTGATGTAACTGTATAACCTGAGTGCGATGAGTCACAATAACGTGGTTGAAGAACTCTCAAGACAGTCGACTTAAGAATGGTCCAGGACGGACCGAAACGTCGTCGTCGTCGTCGTCCCTTCACCTTCTAGTGTGTGGTCTGGTCAACATGTATAACCTGAGCTTGTAAAAGCATCTTGATCACCTTCAGTGGTTAAGTGCTTAATAACACACTAGTTCATCAGCCATGTTACCCTCTCAGAGTAGGAGAGCCATAAATGTATGTGTATAAAGTATATGTGGAAGCTGATCAGAATTACATTTCATTTTATAAATGCACATTAATACCACTATGTAAAGGACACATCGACCACTTTATGTAGGGCAGACGTAACCCTGTGTATCCATGTATTTATGTCTAGGTTAGATTAGCATTTTAAAAGCACTACAATCACCTTTTGTGGCCGATTGTTCAATAAATCCTTTATGTTTAACATCTCTCACCCTGTCCATGGAGGACAAGAAAATGTATATATGTTGGTTAGCATTGTGAATGTGTGGCCACGTCTGTGGTAGAAAATAATAGAAAAAAATCCTTTTTTCCCCTCATTCCCATGTAGGAGGAACACAGGGCATGGAGGGATATGCGTAAGAACATTATACGAATTACCCCCCGTTGCCCACTCGCGCATTTTCGAATTGAAATTGAAATAAGTTTATTGAGGTAAAATACACACAAAGGGATGAGGTAGCTCAAGCTATTCTCAGCCCGTTCAGTACATCGTGTTAATACATACACACACACACATCACAAACAATAAACATATTACCAAACATTCTGAGAGAGAAACATCTACATTTCCTCCTTCACAAGTAGTATGGTATCAGACGTGTACACAAATACTTTTATTACCTAGGTATACTGTATAGACAATTTGCAAGAGACATGCAGATAATTCAACAAAATATTAGAGTCTTGGTGCAAAATTCTTATCTCTCTCAAGAATATCATCAACCTTTCCGTTGTGACACATCCAGGCTATTTGTTCAGGAACAGTCCTTAAGTGAATCCTCTTATTTTCCTTAATCTGCCGTTCTAATCTTATCTCACCTCTTCCCCCCCCTCTACTTTCTATTTTTAATTGCCATCACCCTCTCCTGTGCTACATAGTCCCCTCTCTACCTCCCTGTTTCTTCCCTTATACAGAGTTCCAACTTTTTTGCAGTCCTGGATTGTGTAGTACGACGACAGGATGATAGTTTTGTGCGTTTTGAGCAACACCTTTTCAATATATGAGGTACAAAGCCAGCATGACTATATCGCATGTTGGAAATAGCGTTTCGTCCTCTAAAATGCAGTCCAGTGGTCCACTGTGACCTACTCCCTCCGGTTTGACTCCTGCTGGGGAGTCAGTCGGACATTTGTGCACCAATCCCAGCGGTTGACATTAGATAATAAGGCACCACTGACCGTGTTTCGGCGCTGGAGAAATATACAAATCATTCTGTAAGTCCCTTCGCTTCTTCATTACTTCTCCCTCAACCCTCGCCCTCCCCCAATTACCTTTCCTTCTCTCCTCCCGACTCTCTTCCCTTCGCCGCTCTTGTGTTTACTGCCGTCCCTCTCCTCCAACCCTTGCACCCTCCTCTCTTCCTTTCCCATTCCACTTCTCTCCTCCCCACTCCTTCCTTCCTTACGGCCCTTCCCAGCTATCCCCTCGATCCCTCCCTTTAACACTTCCTTCTCTGGGTTCCACCTGTCGTCCACACCTCCCAGAATGCCTCACTGACTCGACAGACTTCGGTTCAGTGGCAACAATGATGAATCAGAGCACCACCTTCTCCCTCATTGTTCTGACGACCCGTGACTACTCGACCACCTTCCAATGACCTCCGGCGGTGCCACTGCGGCTCCGGACACTCCTAATGACTGGCACTGACCCCTTGACTCTCCACTTGCTCTTATGATGATCCACTGGCACTTATCCTTTGAAACTGATCACCCTTGACACCACTTGTACTGACTGCACAATTTATACATATATAGAAAGGTAAACTAAATACACCGCATGACAAACTCAACCTTCCGACAAATATGGACCGCAGTATGAGCATCACGTACAGAAATAAAATATTGTAGTTGGCCCTGGAAGGCCGCGAGAGGTGGCGGGAAAGAGACCAACCGGCCGCTCAAAACAAAGGGGCTACGTTTGTGCTGACTTAAAACTTTTAATTAACATGCTGAGTGCCGTGCGAGGCAGAAAAGGCGTGGTAAAAGTCCTCGCCATCCCCCCTCCCCCTCGCCTTTTTTTCCCCCCATTCCCAAAAAATACTTTTGTGGTTTTAGAGAAATGTATTTTTAAAAAGTTTCCTGACGCGAGGCTACGAATATAATGAGATTAGCCGCAGGATTACTGCTGGCATTGTTGTTAATGGATGCTAGTAAGTGGCTTATTCTCACCTCTCGTGCTGCCTTTATAATAGTTTCATTACACCTTCCTTCACACGCACGGAATTTCGCGCCGTAAATATTACTAAATCGCCAATCACTGTTCCGCCGTTCGTGTGGGGAGGCGGATGGAGAGGGACGCTAGTTTATTCTACGCTCGTGTAACTGGATTTGAAGTTTTCATTCGTATTTTTACAAAGCAAACGTAACTGTGAGGAATTTTATTCAGTTCGTGTCTAGTGGCTCAGTTGTACTGTATATAGACTTGAGATTTTGGAATAGTAGTAAGGTTTAGTTCTTGTATTTAAAAATGAACGCTAATATATATATTTTTTGATTTGTAAATAGACTTTTTAATATGACTAATAAAATTCGTTCATTTTAGTGTAATCTCTATCAACTTCACACGCCATTTAGACTAGGCTGCTTTCCCAAATTTCCCCACCAGAAAGTTAACTCTACATTGCAGGAAAGAAAAAGTACTCACCGAAGCAGAGTCCCCGAGTGCGTCAACCTGGAAGTAGGATATAAATATATAAGATTTGTGTTTTTAGTTTCATCAGAGTAATGAAAGTAATGCATTCACGCATCGAGTTGAATTGTGTTAGAATTATTATAGACAGATTCGCTGGCTGGCAAATTGGAGTTTACTATAATTTCAACGTCTTTTGACATACTGTTAGCGCGTCTTTCTCTTGGTGTTTGAGAAATGTCCTTCATATCTGTCAAAGAAATACACAGGGTATTTCTGTCTTGCAGTCTCCTCAAGATTATCAATGTGGATGAATCAGGTTTTTGCCAAAGTATAATATATAATACAATCCTCTTGACATTAAACTCGCCTTTCGACAAACTAACACACTTCGTAGCAATCTAGTTCACACTGCTCCTCCTGCTTCTAATGCTGCTGGTGTCTACTCTATTTCCTGTTCATCTTGTCCTCTCCAATACTTTGGCGAAACTGGCCGTACACTGAATGACAGACTTAAAGAACACAAGAGAAGTGTTATGTCTGCAGACACTAACAATGCTCTCTTCTGCCATGTGAGGGATTCTAATCATCCCATTGATTGGTCTTCCTCCAAAATAATCTTTCCTGCCTCTACTCTACACAGACGCCGTCTTGTAGAATCGGCTCTTATTAACAATGTACCCAACATGAACTTGAGTCCTGGCTTTGTTGCTGTGGACTCTTCCCTTTCACAGTATATACTCAAATGCTCTAATCTTTCTAACAAACGTGACTTAACATAAGCTTTCCCCCTTCCATTTCTTTCGTTCTCTTTCCCTTTCTTTCTCTCTTCTCCCTTTTTCTGTTCATTGTCTTCTACGCTCCCTTGCTATCCTCTTCTTATTCCTATTACCATCTCCTTCGGTGGTTATAATAGGAGCTGCCTCGTATGGGCCAATAGGCCTGCTGCAGTTCTCATTACTACTATCCCCTACACCTGACTTTCCTCCTCAGCTCTCTCTTGCCTATTTAATTCTTGTCCCTACCTGTCCTCATCACAATCGACTTGAGAATGGTCCAGGACGGACCGAAACGTCGTCGTCTCTTCAATTTCTAGTGTGTGGTCTGGTCATCATACTTCAGCCACGTTATTGTGACTCATCGCCTGCATATAATACAATATATAATAAAATATATATAATTTATTATAGGTTGCTGGTGTATGTGGATATAACGATTGTCAGATCTGCATGTAGTATCAGGTTTTTTTGTTTGCTTAGATGTAAATTCTCGAAGCTAACACCACCACCGGAGGTCAAAATGTACCACACCGCCAGGGCTCAATATTCGGGGAGCCAAATGGACCCCTTCAACGCTGCGAGGGGCATTATGACGCGCGCGATGCGTCCATGTTCACTGTGGGCGGGAATTCCCATTCGGTGTAATTTCTACCTTTACTATCCCGTCAAGTGGTATCCCCTTCCATCAGTTTACCTTAGTAAAGTCGGCACAACCGCACCTCTCGCACAATTTATTGCGTCGGGGGACAGGCAGCCAGCGTATATATATATACATACACACACACACACACACAATCTTTGACGTCACGAGAGACATCTCCCGTCACGTAGGGTGCAGTCGCACCTCCACAGATCTCCAGTATCATCTATTGATACTGGTAATGGCTCAAATGGGCCACCACTTACGGGCTATTCATGCCCGTGCCACCTTTGGGGTGGCTTAATCTTCATCAATCAATCAATCCAGCCTACTCACGACCCCTTTTCACTTCGAGTATGCACAGTTTCCAGGACTGCCTGATCCCCCAATTCTTCATCAGATTTGTAGACAAAGTGGAGAACAGTGTGAGGAAGCTTCACTACTCTTCACTGGCTGGACTAGAGTGTCTCAAATCCACCCAGAACGAAGGCTTCGATGAGAAAGAGAAAAGAAGAAAGAGGAGAAAGAGGAAAAGAGGAGAGAGAGAGAGAGAGAGGACAGCAAGAGAGAGAGGACAGCAAGAGAGAGAGGACAGCAAGAGAGAGAGTGCAGAGACCGACCCGCTCGTGGTAATTTACATAATGAAGCTTGAATGGAAACCAGGCAATTAAAATCGTGCGTTCCCCCTGCCAGTTGACGCATCACCAGGAGCCTTAATGGAAATAAACAAGTGGTTGCCATGCTCTTAATGAACGTGCATTACCATCAACTAGCGAGGTAAGCGCTGCTGCTGCTGCCACCTCGCTGATGATAAAGATTAAGCCACCCAAGAGGTGGCACGGGCATGAATAGCCCGTAAGTGGTGGCCCTTTTGAGCCATCACCAGTATCAAGAGCTGATACTGGAGATCTGTGGAGGTGCGACTGCACCCTGCGTGACGGGAGATGTCTCCCGTCGTTCTGGTCGGAAGTCCCTTATTAACTGTGCAATAGAACCAGAGATACATCTCAAGTGATTAAAACTTTAATCAGCAGTCACTGACGTCATATTCCGTCTCAAGCACATGCAGTGTGAAGGTCAACAAAACTTGTCTTGATTCATCCATTTCAAAGATTCACCACCGCTCTTGTGCCAAGTAAGTCCACTACGGGCTCACCATAGCCCGTGCTACTTGGAACTTGTTCCGAGTAGCTGAATCTATAACATTATCCATTTTCAAATGCAACTTTATGTACAGGTTCAACACGAGATCACCAGCAGATCGACTTTTCTTAAACCCGAATTACCATCTATATAGTAACCGATGATAAAGGAATGTCGTTAGTATTGTCTAAAGAATTTTGACAGCAATTGATAGCAGTAATACTGGTTTGTAGTTGCCGACTGATCTATCAGTATCAGTCGGCTGATATGGTCTATCGACTTGATCTATCTGATATGATTTATCGACTGATATGGTCTTATCTATCTTACGAGGTGGAACAAAAACTACGCGTGAGAGAAGCCAGTCTTGGGGGTTGACCTTATCCAGCCCCATTGACTATGTAGTGAGATTCAAGGAGGTAGTGGACATCTTCCTGTTTAATAGCCACGGTTGACCACATTGACAATGCTTGGATCAAGCTGTTAAGGCTCTTTCTGGACAAGGGATGGACATCTTACCGAGAACAAATTGAGTAACCGAGAACAAATTGAGTAACCGAGAACAAAATGAGTAACCGAGAACACATTGAGTAACTGAGAACAAAATGAGTAACCGAGAACAAAATGAGTAACTGAGAACAAAATGAGTAACCGAGAACAAATTGAGTAACCGAGAACAAATTGAGTAACCGAGAACAAATTGAGTAACCGAGAACAAATTGAGTAACCGAGAACAAATTGAGTAACCGAGAACAAATTGAGTAACCGAGAACAAATTGAGTAACCGAGAACAAATTGAGTAACCGAGAACAAATTGAGTAACCGAGAACAAATTGAGTAACCGAGAACAAATTGAGTAACCGAGAACAAATTGAGTAACCGAGAACAAATTGAGTAACCAGTTGCCAGGCGCAAACTATAACCAAACCATGAATTACCAGGAGGCTGCTACATACTAGGGGTAAGGATTGTGTTGATTTAATAGGATTGGTGACCGCTGCCCACTGGATGGGGGGCGGTGTAACCTATCCACCGCTGCCCACTGGATGAGGGGCGGTGTAACCTATCCACCGCTGCCCACTGGATGAGGGGCGGTGTAACCTATCCACCGCTGCCCACTGGATGAGGGGCGGTGTAACCTATCCACCGCTGCCCACTGGATGAGGGGCGGTGTAACCTATCCACCGCTGCCCACTGGATGAGGGGCGGTGTAACCTATCCACCGCTGCCCACTGGATGAGGGGCGGTGTAACCTATCCACCGCTGCCCACTGGATGGGGGGCGGTGTAACCTATCCACCGCTGCCCACTGGATGGGGGGCGGTGTGCAGGACAAACATATCAATTGTGACACTAGCTCTCCACATATGTCAGTTGCTTAATATAGAAACTGTACTTGTGGTCGATCTCGAACCCATTGTTGATGTGACGACTTATACTGAATTTTGTAACTAGCTCATCAAGATTGTAACTTGCTTAGCTAAATGAATTGTGGGGTTCAGTCCCTGAGCCCATTATGTGCCTCTGTAACCCTTTTCCACTACCGCCCACAACGTGGGTATGGGGTGCATAATAAATGAACTAAACTAACTTGGTGACTGGGTCTGCTTGGCTGTTCACGTCATTTTGAATCAGGTTATCTTGAGATGATTTCGGGGCTTTAGTGTCCCCACGGCCCGGTCCTCGACCAGGCCTCCACCCCCAGGAAGCAGCCCGTGACAGCTGACTAACACCCAGGTACCTATTTTACTGCTAGGTAACAGGGGAAGATGTGCCAGTTTTCTTTACCATATAGTTAGGTTGAGAGCTGATTTTTCACCCCCGATCTGTCGGTGAAGTTAAAGTCTAGTGGTCTGATGAACCTGCATCTTGAGGTTATCTTGAGATGATTTCGGGGCTTTAGTGTCCCCGCGGCCCGGTCCTCGACCAGGCCTCCACTCCCAGGAAGCAGCCCGTGACAGCTGACTAACTCCCAGGTACCTATTTACTGCTAGGTAACAGGGGCATTCAGGGTGAAAGAAACTTTGCCCATTTGTTTCTGCCTCGTGCGGGAATCGAACCCGCGCCACAGAATTACGAATCCTGCGCGCTATCCACCAGGCTACGAGGCCACCTCAAGGGCCTGAAATTAATTATAGCTAACAGATCTCCTACAAAGCTCTCCTACCTACCTACCTTCCTACCTACCTACCTTCCCCTCTCTCCCTTATTAGATTTAGGTTCATTTATGCAACATTCCGTTTATCATCGCGTTAAGAGCACTCTGCTTCAGAAGCTGGACTAAATGCTCATTCCAGCTAGAAGCATTTAGCTTATTTTCGTAAATGATGCTAGTGATATTGTGCGCGCTTGCTTAAATTTGACACTCTGGAAATTAATGCAACTGGTTGGCTAACGTTCAGACCTAATGTTTCCCAACTCACCTTGTGTGTCTATGTATGTATTAACACGTTGTACTGAACGGGGTGAGAATAGCTTGAGCTACCTCATCCCTTTGTGTGTATTTTACCTTAATAAACTTATTTCAATTTCAACTCACCTGTCAAGGCTGTTTCTCTGAGAACTGTTAGGCTTACACTGCTCTAATATTTAACTCTGCAAGTATTGACGGATTGACGACGGGAGACATCTCCCGTCACGCAGGGTGCAGTCCCACCTCCATAGATCTCCAGATCTATTAATTCTTATTAATATAGAAGGGCACAATTCCATGCCTTAATTCCTAAATACATTCAGTTATAAAAAATTAAAAAAGTGCAGGGATATTCCTGCGCGGGTCCTAAGCCTATGGCTTGCCTACTAAGTGTTGCTTGTTTCTGTTTTACTTGGGCGGAGTGTGAGTATTTATGACTCGTATGGTCGCTTCAGTAAGATTTTGTCCCGTGTGTTTAACAACGTCTTCTGCTCTGTTGAATCTAAGGTGAAATCTTAACGGGTTTGTAACTGTGCACTGTGTTAGATAATGTTCCAGTGGTCTGTCGGACATTTCTCCACAGTGTTGACATTACTTAGGTGGTGTATGAGTAGGTATGACTTACGTTCGCTTCAGTAAGATTATGCCCAATGTGTTCAACTTCTATTTTGAATCCTAGTTGAAATCTTATTTGGTTTGTAATTATATAATGTCCCAGTGGTCTAAAAGGGCATTTCTCCACATATTTGAATGCTAACACGCTCATCTTTCTAGCAGGTGTTTGTGTTCTAAGTGGGTGACAATGTTCCCTGTCGATTGATTGGTGAAGATTAAGCCACCCAAAAGGTGGCACGGGCAGGAATAGCCCGGAAGTGTTCTCTGTCAACCCAAGCCTCGCTTTACAACCCTAAACAGCTGGGCTCTGGAAATCAGGCACCCACAAACTAATTGACTTAGGAACATAACGACACCAAATCACGATTTTCAACTAAATTGCCACCAGATTGAGTTCAAACTCTGAATCCATCTCGAAGTTTTGAACTACATGACGTGTCGCCAGCGTCTTTCCAGATTATATTTGTCTCACGATTCATTAAATATTTGGATTTTTATAACAAGCTTTAAGAACTCTACAATGTCAGGAGAACTGTTCAATTACGATCTCAGAAATCAGGGGCCAGATTCACGAAGCAGTTACACAAGTACTTACGAACGTGTACATCTTTCCTCAATCTTGGACGGCTTTGGTTACATTTATTAAACAGTTTACAAGCATGAAAACTTACCAATCAGCTGTTGTTTTTGTTATAAACAGCCTCCTGGTGCTTCGGAGCTCATTAACCGTTTAATAATTGTAAACAAAGCCGCCAAAGATTGAGAAAATATGCACAGGTTCGTAAGTGCTTGGGTAACTGCTTAGTGAATTTGGCCCCAGAACTGGGTTCAAGCTCCCGACTCGAAGTCAGAAAGGACTTCACGGCGCCATTACCGAAATGGATCCGAACTCCAGCCGCGAGAACTCCAACGCCACGCCACTATCTGGACTTAAACTTGGGTTCACAGAGCGACTACATGCCGAATCTCGGAGGGTAATTTAGACAGGCAGACGAGATCAAGTGAAGCAAGTTGTTCGAGTTTCCGAAACGCCTCAAGGCTACTGTCGCATCTCTATACGTCACAACATCAAGACAAATGAAGACCAGACCACACACTAGAAGGTGAAGGGACGACGACGTTTCGGTCCGTCCTGGACCATTCTCAAAGTGAGAAAATTTACTTCCCCTAATTTCGTAAATTTTAATCACTCTCTTCACATTTCCGTTAATTGGCCATTTTTGTCTCCATCTCTCTCTCTCTCCAACACCTGCGCCTACCTATGCCGTTTGTTGTTTTAGATTCAAATACTCGGAACAAAAGTAGCACGGGCTATGGTGAGCCCGTAACTTACCTGGCACAGGAGCGGGGGCCCTACCTATGCGTCAGTTCTGTTTTTTAAGCTTTTCTCGTGCTGTCCACCCAGCCCGTCCTCTAAGGTTCCCGTCAAAACATCAGTGAGGGGAAAAAACAGACTTTGACGGGTAAATACCTTGAGGACGGTTGGGGAAGGAAGTGGACTCGTGTATCTGAAATGACACTGATAATCAGGAGCCAGATTCACGAAGCAGTTACGCAAGCACTTACCAACCTGTACATCTTTCCTCAATCTTTGATGGCTTTGGTTACAATTATTAAACAGTTAATGAGCTCCGAAGCACCAGGAGGCTGTTTATAACAATAACAACAGTTGATTGGCAAGTTTTCATGCTTATAAACTGTTTAATAAATGTAACCAAAGCCGTCAAAGATTGAGGAAAGATGTACACGTTCGTAAGGACTTGCGTAACTGCTTCGTGATTTTTTTTTTTTTCTGAGATATATACAAGAGTTGTTACATTCTTGTAGAGCCACTAGTACGCGTAGCGTTTCGGGCAAGTCCTTAATCCTAAGGTCCCTGGAATACGATCCCCTGCCGCGAAGAATCGTTTTTTCATCCAAGTACACATTTTACTGTTGCGTTAAACAGAGGTTACAGTTAAGGAATTGCGCCCAGTAAATCCTCCCCGGCCAGGATACGAACCCATGACATAGCGCTCGCGGAACGCCAGGCAAGTGTCTTACCACTACACCACGGAGACTGCCCAAATCTGGTACAAGGCTGCACGAAAGTGTCGTAATCACACTACCTACACGCCTGACCTGACGAAACAAAATCCTACCGTGACCTTTGGGCGCAAGGAAGCATGTTACAACTGGCTTGACCAGAAGAAATTGATGGATTGGCATTCTTTCACATTTTATAGAAGACACGCGAGGGATTAGTCCGTCTCTCTCTCACTCACAAGCCGGTGGCCAAGCTGACAGCACGCTGGACACGTGATCCTGTAGTCCCGGGTTCGATCCCAGGCGCCAGCGAGAAACAATGGGCAGAGTTCCTTTCACCCTATGCCCCTGTTATCTAGCAGTAAATAGGTACCTGGAAGTTAGTCAGCTGTCACGGGCTGCTTCCTGGGGGGGGGGTGGAGGCCTGGTCGAGGACCGGGCCGCGGGGGACACTAAAGTCCCGAAATCATTTCAAGATAACGAAGGTAAACTAGTCTAATTTTTGAGAGTAGGGGATAAGGAGGGAGAAGGCTGGGCTGTTATTCTACCGAACCACAAACCCGCCACAATAGGAATGTTGATCAGACCACACACTAGAAGGTGAAGGGACGACGACGTTTCCGTCCGTCCTGGTCCGAAACGTCCAGGACGTCCAATCTCAAGTCTTTGGCCACGTGGTCTTTGGCCACGTTACTTTAGCCACGTTGTGACTCATCGCCTGCATAATAGAATTTCTTACGAAATACAAATCTACGAATTTGGATTTATTTTTTTGTAAAACACTGTGTTGAAGATTGCCACAGCAGAAGACACACAGACAGGTTGATCTGTTTAATCTCACTATTTATTCCATCTGTTGGACAAAGATCTCTATTTTAAGACAATAATAGGAGGTCAGGGGGTTTCAGCAATCACTAAAGTTACGGAACCTGTACATCTCTTTTTGTGTAACCTCGTAGCGTTACGAAGCTCTTAAGTCTGTTTAATAAACGCAGACTATGGCATCTCTTAAGTCTCACTTAAAAAAAAAAAACTTAAACCATACCTTGGGTTTTTCCATGAATGATTTAAACCAAGATTTATTTAAAATTGTCTGGGGAAAAAAAAGAGCAAAATAGCCATATTGAAATTTTTCCCCACAATATGGGGAAAAAAGAGGAAAATAGCCATATTGAAATTTTTCCCCACAATATGGGGAAAAAAGAGGAAAATAGCCATATTGAAATTTTTCCCCACAATATGGGGAAAAAAGAGGAAAATAGCCATATTGAAATTTTTCCCCACAATATGGGGAAAAAAACATTTAATTAAAATTTAGTTTTTAATATTTTCTTCACATTACGCGATATTAGTTTGGACAGTGGCTGTTGGTTTTTGAATATATAATTTAATATTCACCGTTCCAATATATCGAAAGTAATTAGAGTCGGGGCAAATGGTGTACGTTTTGTAGATGATTTAATTGTTTCGCACGCCATAAAAAAAAAAGTGATTTTTTTGGAAATTATGACAGTTATTTGCTCTTATTTGGCTTCACCCACTGAACATATTGCACTAAATAAACGTTTTTATATATATAAATACATTTGTATTTATGAGGGAGGGAGGATGTCTTACCTCAGATGGGTGTCCAGCAGAGAGAGAGCACACGCTTCATTTCAAATGGTCCTACAATTCTGCCAATCCTGCTGGTCCCCCTGATGGGATCACGGTGCATCTCCTGAAAGAATGGTAGGCAGTTAACTACACGTGTTCATCAATACTGGCTGACAAATTCAACTATTTGCATTACATTCTAGGTGGTGCTGTCACCCCCACATGACATCAGTCAAGTACTGTAATTACACACCAAATAAACACCAGTACAGTTTGGTTATAAGTGCCATGATTGCTTTCTTTCAAGGGTCTGGGTTCTAGGCGCATCGAATCAACGAGACCCCCAAGAGCAACCCGCTTCCCTTAACACTACCTCTGTGGCAATTTAGTGGCATTCTTGGCTTCCGTCCATCATCTAAAAACCACTATTTTTTACAGTTTTTTCTGTCACAAGGGAAGGGAACTATCAGAGGGGAAAGGGCCAAGCCATTACGACTATATAGCACTGGGAAGGGGCCAGGATACGGATTTTGCATGGGACCGGGAAAGGGGTGAGGGAGGGAAAGAAATTGTGTCTAACCACTTGGACGACCGGGGATTGAACGCCGACCTGCATGAAGCGAGATCTACCACCAGTGGGTGTTAGATCATCACCTTGAAATATGGGAGGTGGGAAGGTGTCTACCAGACAAATTATTCTTCGACATAGTATTGGTAAAAACATTTCAAATTAAAACAAACCCTCTAATTACTAATTATATATTCAGACAAAAAATTCTGACGAGTTATTATACCATTCTCAAATCAACACTAAGATTCATCAAGCTACTTGGAGTTGAAATTGTTTAATTCCACTTTAACGTATTCACAACTCACAGGATCCAGCACTTTAGCGAGTTCAAAGTATTCCTGTGAACGCGTTCGTTCCTGTCTTCATATAATCACTAGTCCGGCGCGGACATACGCAGGATAACTAACGACTCTGTCTACTATGTAAAACAGGTTAGGACACTTTCCACCAATTTCGTTTTAATGATTTCCAGTAATGAAAGCCACCAGCTAATCACAGAATGGAGGCAAAGTAATATTCAGTGTCGTCTGATGCTGCCACGATGGTTTTATTAATATGAACAGCATTGTAATTTTTTTATTAATTTGTCGGGTATACTGGCGTAAAAGTCGTAAACTCTAGTCAACAGTTATTTCGACATAGTTTAACCCGTGAAGGTAGTTTAGCTAAACAGAGCCCAGCGCTCCCTTTTAGACTCACATTGCCGAGCCTTACATAGATAAACCTGCTAAACTAATTTTGTCAACTCCAATCCTACATTAACCATCAACCAACATTCTGGGCCAAATGCAACAATTCGGGGGGCCAAATACACCAATTCGTGGCGCCAAATACATCAATTCGTGGCCAAATACATCAATTCGCGGGCCAAATTCATCAATTCGTGGTTAAATACACCAATTCGTGGCCAAATACACCAATTCGGGGGGCCAAATACATCAATTCGTGGCCAAATACAGTACATCAATTCGGGGCGCCAAATACAGGTTCAAAAGGAAACAAAGAAGGCCCCCCCTAAATGGTGAATCAATCAATCATGTCTGTTTCTAGCAACATCAACTGCTATTCACCAAAACAATTCTGGACACGTGAGTGAAGAAGGTTGGACAAAAATACAAGTCAATTACCACAAGTAGCTAACAAAACCTGCCTTCGAATCATGTGTGTTTTCTCTATAGAAATTTGCCCATTGATAAATACCCGATAGTCTATATTCTTGCCTAACAACATTCCAGTTATTTCAATCACTTCTAGATGAAGCCTCGCTTGAGAAGTCCTCCTTAAGTCAAATTCTGACTTAAGGTGTTAACCCAGCGGATTTTTGCTAAATAGGCGCAGATAGTCAACCTAGGCTTAAAGGACTCGAGTAGAGTGAAATGGGGGTTCGAACCCTGAACCACTCGTGCATGAATGGAACCCCTACTCCCCCCTGGTCTGAGAAGACAAAAAAATGGAACCAACCCTACGGAAAGCAAATCCCTGATTTCAGACCATCAAAACCGTTTGGCAGGAGCCTACATTTCTTTAAGGGTGGGGGATAAGAGGGGGAGGGGGGTATTGGAATATAGCCGACCCTGACCATCCTATGACAATCCCGAACCCCTCAATGTGTCACCATTGGGAGGGGGACTATCACACGAGCCCCAGCCTTCAGGGACGAGTATATAGGCCTACAATATCCTCTAGGGGAAGGGGGAGGTCTATCGTACGTGTCAAGCAAGTTACACACGAAATAACCCACACTGAAGGAACACATTTTAAAAAATTTCTGAATGTGACAACCGCTTCGGTAATTTAAGTTAGAATATATGATACTAGAACGTTATTAGGGATAAATCTACGTTATTGCTACACTCCACTAACGATCACCGTTAGTAGAGTGTAGCGCACACGATTTTGTTACCGTGACACGTTCAGTAATGTAACCACAAGGTCACTAGTTGAAATGTACTAAAAAATAAACTCGTTATTGTACTAATAACGCTGGCAACATTGTCCGTTGCCAGGCGCACGATACTGCTTCAACCCTCCCCCCTTCCCTCTAGCGTTATTAAAGCCAGTTGATTAATTTAGTTTCCAGTTACGATGCATAGTTTAGCCAAGTTTGTGGTGGTTCAGTTCAACACGTGGAACCACAAGTAATCATGAATACTCCTATATCAGAATACTATTACATTTGCAAAGGCAATCTTCAAGTTTTCCCAAATATCTCTGAACTGAACGAATCCACAAGGGGCCGTGACGAGGATTCGAACCTGCGTCCGGGAGCATCCCAGACGCTGCCTTAATCGACTGAGCTACGACAGGGTTAAAGGGTTGAAACCCTTTTTTTTAAGTTCAGTAGAACTTCGGTTTCAACCGTTTTAAGAGGTAAGACCCTCCCCCAAGTCTCTCAGGGTTCGATTCCCACAATTGGAGTACAAGGGAGGGAATGTGATTCTTATAGACTGAAGAAAGGTGGGATGGGAGATAGTGCTACACCCCCCCTACACACACACACACAGTTCTGAAAGGATATGATCACTACATACACGATGCCGAGGAGGTATATGCATAGTTAACTAGAAAAAGGCACTTTAAACTATTCCAATTTAAAACATATCAACAAATCCAATTTCTACTTCGAAGAATTCAGGAAAGAAAGTCCGACAAATACAGCAGCCACAAGATACAACATCACACCACTCGGTATTTACAACCACGCAGCAAGGGAAAAAACTGACAAAAGCCGTCTGAAAGCCTAGTTAAGGCTACGATACACACAAAAATAAAAGATCTTTCTGAAAAGAGCGCCTCAAAAACCTACAGATAATCAATAACTCGCCTCGCCCAGCTGATGAGTCACATATGAACACAAACTGGAACATCAACATGAAAGGTTCCACTGATCACAGGCTCCAGGCCTCACAAAAGGGGGGGAAAAGGGGTCTTTCTTCATTCCACCTTGTCTCTCCTTTCCTTCCTTTCTTCTGTGTCTCCAGTCCTTCTCATTCCCCGTTCTGGTCTCCGGCATTATTCATCACATTAATTCTCCTTTTCGGCAGCCTTCATCACCCTCTACTCCGTCTCCCAGGCTCAAATACAACAATTTTGGGCCAAATACATCAATTCGGGGCCAAATACACCACGTCGGGGGCCAAATACACCAATTCAAGGACCAAATACACCAATTCGAGGGCCAAATACACCAATTCAAGCACCAAATACACCAATTCAAGCACCAAATACACCAATTCAAGCACCAAATACACCAATTCAAGCACCAAATACACCAATTCAAGCACCAAATACACCAATTCAAGCACCAAATACACCAATTCAAGCACCAAATACACCAATTCAAGGACCAAATACACCAATTCAAGGACCAAATACACCAATTCAAGGACCAAATACACCAATTCAAGGACCAAATACACCAATTCAAGCACCAAATACACCAATTCAAGCACCAAATACACCAATTCAAGCACCAAATACACCAATTCAAGCACCAAATACACCAATTCAAGCACCAAATACACCAATTCAAGCACCAAATACACCAATTCAAGCACCAAATACACCAATTCAAGCACCAAATACACCAATTCAAGCACCAAATACACCAATTCAAGCACCAAATACACCAATTCAAGGACCAAATACACCAATTCAAGCACCAAATACACCAATTCAAGGACCAAATACACCAATTCAAGCACCAAATACACCAATTCAAGCACCAAATACACCAATTCAAGCACCAAATACACCAATTCAAGAACCAAATACACCAATTCAAGGACCAAATACAGGCTCAAAAGGAAACAACAAAGGGGCCCCTAAATGGTGAATCAGTTTTGTTGTTGTTTAAGATTCGCTACTTGGAACAAAATGTTCCAAGTAGCACCGGTTATGGTGATCCCATAGTTCATCAGAGTGGGTGAAGCCGATAAGGGAACCTCCGGGGATGATGGCTCGCCTCAGGCTTTCCATAATCATTATGACCTAAAAATATAATTTACCTAAAATATATTACAACAAAAATAAAATACAAAATTGATGCCAATAGGGAGAAAATGCTACATCGGAGCCTGAAATAAATTAGTGTCCTGCGAGGTAAAGTTCTTTCCAGATATTTTATATATATATATATATATCGTGTGCAATAATTGTGTCTATAGTTGGATGTAGGTTCGAATCCTCATCACGGCTCGTGTGGATTTGTCCATTTGATGCATCACGCTATTGTGATTTCTTTGTGTGGAGGCCAGAGGCTCTGGGCTAGTCTCGCTAAACTTTACAGGGGGAACAAACAGGGGAACAAGGTTCTCCTGCGCAAAAAAAAAAAAAAAAAGAAGAGGGGGTGGGGGGGTGGGGCTTGCTCTCCCACGCATTTTCTTAAGTTTTTTTTTTTTTTTTTTTTTTTTTTTTTTTTTTTTTTTAGGGGGGACCCCACACAACCTCTCCTCTCACTCACAGGGAGTAACGAGTCAATATGGTTACTGGTAGCGGACAGCTTGTGTAGATGCGGTCCGTCACCCTCGGGGGAGTTTGTGGCTGAATGGTCG